CTCAGAATCCAAAGACCTACACCAGGGGCAATAAACCCCAGCAGTAGGAACTGTTCGTGTGTGACCCACACACTAATGAAAATAATTCTCGGCCTCCATGCAGTCCTCCTCCCCTGTCAGAAGGTGAATTCCGGGGTCATTTTGATTTTCCAGTTCATCAGTATAGAAGCCAGCCTTCTAGGTGGGCTCCCCAAATTAAAACAACAAAAAGAGTGGCCTGCAAATATTTTTATTGGCATAAAGATTTTTCACCAGCTGCACTGCACTTAGGGAAATTACCATGATAGAGTAAATTTGGGCGGTGAGTTTCGGGAGAAACAGCACATTAGTCACTTGACATGGATTTTCCCCTTTCATTAGCGTCCTGTGCCTCTTCTCATGGCCTGGTTTCCTTTCAGCGCGGTCTGGTTTCTTCTATGCCCTTCAGATGTGATTCTGGGCCTACCCTTGTCCTTGTTGTCATCCCCGGGTGGAGAGAAGGTGGTGTGGTTTGTGTTAATAATGATCCTTAGCCGAATCACCACTTTGCCTGACCTCATCATTAATGAATATTAATGCTTCTGCAGATTGAGTTCAGACCAGACAGGTGAGCGCTCGCAACCAAGACAATTACGTAATCGGATGCTGGGCTGCGCGCATGTATTTGAAAGATACCAAATTACAAGCAGGACGGAAGAGGACAAGGTAGGTCTTCTCTGCACTCCATCACTAACCCAGGACGCCTCGAGAGACACAAAACATGGCTTGTCAGAGGCACACATCATTGGGTGTTCTGGGACTATCAAGTGAGGATATGAAACTGTGACGCTCTCAAGCTAGTGTTGGTCCTTGGCACTGGACAATGAGGCATCTGGGAACTGCCCTGAGCACTCAGCAGTGCTTTGCCCGGACCTTCAGCCTCCCAGTTCTGTGGCCTGGATGGGAGGGCGCAGTCCCCGGCTCGATTGACCTCGGAAGATGACAATATGTACACCAGAGCTGGCAGGTGGCTTGGAGCTGAGTATTCTACATGGTCAAGGGCTCTAAACTTCTCGAAGCACCTTATGAACTTGTCTCAGCCACTGTGTCAGACAGAGGAGGCCTGGGTCAGCCACTGAACAAAGGAAGAGACCGAGGGGAAGGAGAAAGGGGACTAAGAAATTTGAAATGAGGTCCAAGCTTGCTGGAGAGGTGGGAGGAAGGCCAAGTCCAGTTCCCGACTCTGGGCTGCAGTTCTGGCCATTGCTCCTGGCAAAAGGCATTTATTCTTTCTTCCTTTCTGGCCTTGCTTCATCCTGTCAAAGTCCATTTCCTTTCTTTCTTCTTCTTTTCTTTGTATTTTTTAAATTAAGGTTTTTCACCTGTTGGTATCAGGGCCGGGTACTTCTTTGGTGTGGAGGCTGTACTGTACTCTACCTGCTAGGTTCTAGTATGGCCACTTACCCAAGTCATGACAATGAAAAAGTCTTCAGTCATTGCCAGGTGTCCCATGGGAGGCAAAATTCACCTTGGCTAAGACCCAGGGTCTTAGACCAGAAAGTCACACTGAAAGCCACTACTTTAGCATCAATTTACAACTCTCTTTGTAAATAGTGTGACCATATTATTCCTCATCCAACCCAGGATCCTCCAACTGCAGAGGTGTGCCATTAATAATTACACTGGGTTGTCAGGTGTGGACCGAGACCATCCTAGGCAAACAGGGACATATGGTCACCGTAACACAAGTTGCTCCTTAGAAGGGAAGTGTGCCAGTCAGCTTTCCATTACTGTGACAAAACACCTGACGTAAACAGCTTAAAGGGGGACAGGTTTATTTTGGCTCACGGTCTCATAGGTTTGAGTCCATGGCGAGCTGGCTCCATTGCTTTTGAGCCTGTGGTGAGGCAGACTCAAGGCAGGAGGGGGTAGTGGGAGAGAGCTGCTCACTTCATGCCAGCCAGGAAGCAGAGAGAAAGGGAAAGAGCCAGGGAGAGGGCGTTGGGGACCAGATATAGTTCGACTGTTCATGCCCCCATGCCCCACTTCCTTCAGTGAGGACTTCCCAATAATGCCATTGAATTATGAGTCTGTCAATGACTATATTCATGGAGGTACTTAGAGCCCCTGTGGTCCATTTGCCTCCCCAAATCCCATCTTCTGAACAGATGAGACCTTTGGAAGACAGTGTAGATCTCCACCCTAACAGGAAAGAGGCACTCTGTGTGTGTGAGTGTGTATGTGTGTGTGTGTGTGTGACAAAGGGCCTTTCCAACGTCATGTACAACTTAAAGTCACAGGAAAGAGGCACTCTGTGTGTGTGAGTGTGTGTGTGTGTGTGTGAGTGTGTGACAAAGGGCCTTTCCAACGTCATGTACAACTTAAAGTCTCACTCTTGCACTCCTGGACTGTGTTCTTAGAAATCACTCAGGGAAGGGAAAAAAACAGATAAGGACTAGAATTTTATTTTAAGGAGCTAGAATGCACCCGTGTTCCTAGCAGCATTATTTATAACTACCCAAAGGTAGATCCTACCCAAGTGCCCATTGATGGATAGATAAACACAATGGGGCATTTCCACCCAATGGAATACTACTCAGTCTTGAAAAGGAAGACTGCTTCTGACACCTGCTACAGCATGAGTGAACCTTGAAACAGTTCAAGTGAAATAAGCTGGTCACAAGAGGACAAATGCGTCATGATTCAACTTGTGGGAATACTTAAGAGTCCCTCCAGGAATCTGGCTACATTCAGAGGGACAGAAAATAGAATGGGGATAAAAATTCCCCAGGTTTAGATGCTAACGTATCTGGCTGAAAGAAAGCACAGGGCGTGGCTAAGGGCGCATGTTGAGTGCTGGATAGGGAACTTCTTCCGAGCCCGCAGGGTTGGTCTGTTTAATGTTACTCTTGCTAACAACGCTTCTCAGAGCAAATGTAAACACAAAGGGCCAAGGGAGCCTCTGGGATATTTGTTCTCTGGTTAATATTAATGTGTGTCCGCATTTACTTGCACTTTCCAGCCTGCTCCGTGTCAGTGAATAGCAGCAAAGCTGATACAGCAGTGAGAAGACAGTGTTAGGTTCCTCCTAACCATGCTCAGAGCCCTTCAATAGTGTCCTTGACGATTCTTATTTCTGGTTTTCATCTTAACTGCCAATATTAAGTAAGCCCTGATATTAAGGTAGAAACGAAGTTAAAAGTTGCCAACTACTTTTTTGCAGAACTGGGAACTGAATCCAGGGCTTTCACACTGAGCTGCATTTTCCATCCCCTCCTTTATTAAAATTTTGAGACAGTTTCTCTATGTAGCCCAGGCTGGGCTCTGACTTGCTATTGTCCTGCCTCAGCTTCCCAGCGTGCTGGGATTAGTGTGCACCACCATGCCCAGCTCCAAGCACTCTTATGAAGTACTTTCAATTCATTGTCTCATGTTGTGGCCTTATTTAACCCTCACCAGGCCTCCGGAGTACTGCCACCTGCATCTCATGGACTGATGAGACAGGCACGGAAGTGATATCACCTGCCAAAGGCCACATGACATAAGCTGACGCGAGCATGGGAATGCATGAAGAGCTGGCCCTCCCTGTGTGAAGCTGGAAATTGGAAAATACATGAGTGCACTCAGAGTTGGTTTTTCCTAGAGCATTATGTAATTTTGTTCTTCAGGTCACTTCATGGTTTAAAAGAATAGAGAGGGAATGGGAAACTCAGGATGGGCAGGTGCAAAGCCGCTGTCAGTTGAAGACGACTCTCAACGGAAGATGAAGCATCTCGTAATCGTAATGCTGAGTAATGGAAAATAAAACAGTTTGAAATGGTGGAGCTGCATCCAACTTTTAGTGCACTCGCTCATCACACAAATTAAAATATACCATTGATGAGGGCAGAAGAACAGAGTGGTATATGAGAAAGAGGAGGGGCCTTGAAGTCAGGGGTTCCTGGCTCCAAATGCCTGCTGGCACTTACAGGCTGTGTGACCTTCTGCAAACTGCTTAACCTCTCTGATCTTCCACATCTTCATTTATGAGCTGCAGGTCGTAGCCCTTACATCAGCAGGGTTATTGCAAAATTTAAATAGGATAAAGATACCAAAAGCACCCATGTCATAATCAAAATATTCATTTCATTCTCTTCACCATTCTCTAGATAGAAAATTATTACTGAAGGCTCTGAGGTTACTTTGGGGACCCTCAAACTGAGAATGATATCAATAGTCAATAAAGAGTGTAAGAAATAATTTTACTGAGAAATATTTAAGACACACCAAGTGTGCATCTACAATCCGACTCTGTTCCTCCTCAAATGTGGAGACGGGTTCATCTGTGGATTGGCGACACAGATTCGCCAACTGCCCATGCCTACTTTCTCAAAGTCATAGCTATCCTTCAACGCTGCCCTTCCTGAAGTGTGCTCCTTGGATCCCTTATCTTGTAAATATTTCTTTCACAGGAAACCAGAGGAGCATCAGCCCCTACATGGGTTTGTAGATCACAGCCAATCGTATTTCACCTCAGGAGATTGATACGGAGGTAGCATGGTGAACCTGTGTGACGGGAGAATCTTTTCCTCCTCACACCCATTACTCATCAGATAAAACTGGTTTCCCAGAGACACATGCTGGAAAATGCTGTTTTATACCAGTCAAAACCCGCTGCATTGAAAGAGAGAGATTTCCAGCCACTTTTGACCAATCTTGGCAATAGGAACTCCTTCCTTGGCCTCTCTTTCAAAGGCGTTTTCCTTCACACTTTAGTTTCTTTTACTTAACATAACAAGGGGGCAATTTATTCTTGTGTCAGAATCTGAGAGCTGGGCTATTTGACAGGTGAGAGGAACCAGATGGCTGAGAATAAAAACCATTTTTGCAGCCCAGGTTCACCACAAGCAGAAAACACAGAGGCCAGCCTGCATCAGGATGGGCAGGTACTCATTTTCTCTGCTTTAGATTCCTTAAAAGCTCAACTGTCCAGACTTAGCACATCAAAGGAAATTTTCCTGGGCACATCAAGGGGGTAGTCTTTCAAAAGAGCCACGAAATCATGAGGGGAAACAAGCATGCAATTTATCACTCTGTCAAGGTTCAACAAGGTCTTGATCAACACGTGGAGAGCTTCTGAAGCCATCAATGCAGTAATCAACAGCACGAGGCAGTGTAGGCAGTACCCATAGATCTGCAGAATGTCGCACCTTAAACAACTCTTCTTCAATGTCAGCCACAATATGGGAACTCCTTGCACAACTGTGCATTCAAACATTTTGAAGTCAGGGTCAGCAAAAGACCTGGTCTAACACTTAGGTCAAAAGCCTTGCGGGAGGCAGAATTCTAAGCCTGCCTGTGAGAGTTCCTGCCCCGGGCTGTACATACAACCACACTAACACGGCTGCTGCTGTGGCAGGGATTGGCAGGACCACCCTTGAAGGCTTCTAAAGTCAGCAACAGAAAAGTCAGAGCTTCTGAGAACGAGGAGCCCATGTGCCATCGCTGGCTGGAAGGCAGAAGGAACTGTGTGACAAGGAGTGTGGGCAGCCGCCCGGAGCGGGGAGCAGCCAGCAACGACACAGGGTCTCTGTTCCGTAGCCACAAGGAACTGAACTTCCACTATGGCAGCATGTCAGTGCTCAGAAAGTTTTGGATTTTGGAGCACTTTTGATTTCCAGATTAGGGATGCTTGGCCTATACAAGCCTCAAATGTTAACACAGGAGTTGTCTAGAGAGCACATGAAGATAAAGTCTAAGGCTCAGTAAAGGACTGAGGTGGAGCTCCGTGGTCAAGCACTTGTCCATTGTGCACGAGGCCCTCGGTTCCATCCCAGCACTGCAGTGCAATCAAGGTTTAGTATCTCAGCAGACATATTCCCCGAAATCCACTAGAATTAAAATAAAAAAACAGAAATGGGGGAAATGCAAGTCAAAACCACGATGAAATATCACTTCACACCCACCAGGATGGCCATATTTCAAAAAGCAAAAGGACAATCACAAATATCAGGAAGGGTATAGAGACACGCACACTGCTGGTGGGAATACACCATCATACGGGTGCGGGGAAGGTTGTACAAATGACCCAGCAATTCCACTGTACCCAAGGCAGTCAAAAATACAAGAGCATACCAAAACACCAACGCTCATAACACCGTCTTTCATAGTAGTGAAGTAGTGGAAACAACCCAAATATCCATCAAGGGATGAATGGGTAAAGAAAATGTGGCACGTTGTTTTTATGCAGCTGGAAACACGAATGAATTGCTGATAAGATCCCACAACATGGGAAAACCTTGAAAACACTGTGCTGGTGAAAGACACAGTACCAGTCACACAAGGCCACAGGTTGTATGAGCACATTTATATGCAATGCCCAGAATAGGCAAATCCACAGAGAGAGAAAGTAGATTGACGGTGGCTGGGGGAGGAGAAAATTCAGACAAATTGCTAATTGGTATGGGTTTTTTGGGCAAAGTGATGGAAGTGTTGTAGAGTAGACAGGGGTAATTGTTGCACAACATAATGAGCATAATAAAAACCACAGATGTATATACTGTAAGGTATGTGAATTATATTTCCATTAAAAATTTAAAAACAAAAACAAGTGGTAAAGAGCCCATGGATGAAGAGGTTTCCTTTCGGTTTGGGTTTTGTTCTGGGTTTGTATTTTAAATTTCTTATTTTTATTAGTACATGTTTGCAGTACATACTGATTAGATTCACTGTGCAGAGCTGGTACATGTACATAGCACATCTTATATATTCTGTTTGTCTTTTATTCAATTCCTCCAAAATTTTTATTGTAAAAACTTACAAACACAGGGCAAAGTCAAAAGAATGAATCCCTGATATCCTCCACCTACATGCAACAATTGTTAATGTTTTGCCATTTTTGCTTGTATGCCCTAGTACTTTCTGTACATGCATGAGCATGCACGTGTGCACACACACACACACACACACACACACAAATAAGAGTGGCTGCTATTTTTCTTTAACTGGATCATGGGTGCTTCTCTCTCCTATGCCATAAATACTTTTTGGTTTTGTTTGTTTTTGTGGTCCAAGGGATGGAACCCAGGGCTTCTTGTATGCTAGGCAAGAACTCTATCACCGAGAGACTCCCTCAAACTCCTATATGTATATTTTTTGAGAATAGTAACTTCTTTTGTATTCCCCAAATCATCTAACCATAAACACTGCCATAAACACAGCAATACAGTGGTGAACAAACATCATACAAAACCCCACTCACCTGCGGAAACACTACTCTCTAGAGAAGCAGTCTTCAAATACACTGTAAATGATGGAACTTTTCATTTGACTCTCACCTTATTCAAATGAAGTTCAGTCAACTAAAACACTATGATTTGTGAGAATTCAATCCACAGAGCTTGGTGCACAGCAAGCAATTGGTAGCTGGTATTATTGGGTTGCAAACACACCAGGCGTCACTAAAATAGTAAAAAAGCAGCTTAAGATTGGGTACAACGGCAGGTGAAAAAGTCTTTTGAATTAAGTAAGTTAATTAATGCAGTGAAATTTATGTCCTAGGCTTATCTACTAGCACAATAGTACTAGGCAATAGATAGAGCTCATTGACTGGCAGTGGGTGCCTGGAGAGCTGGGTCACTGTGATTGATTAGTGATGTCTGCTGTGGTGCTGGCCGGGCTCTGTCCTGAGTGGCCATGTTTTCCACATCTGATCTAGATGTATAAATATAGCATGTATGCAGAGCAGAGGCCTGTCCAGTCAAAAATCAATTTTGATAAAGACGTCTAGCTTCCTCCTAAATGTTCTTTGTCGTGCCTGCCATTCTCTTCCTGGAGTCAATTTCCTGCTTACCTATGCAACCTCTCACTCACTTGCTGCTCCTACCATCCTTTCTCTATTACCAAGATGACAGAAACTGCAGAGAGTTAACAGACGTGAACAGCACCTGGTGCAAATGCAATCAAACTCAAACATACCTGTTAAGAATGCCTAGAAGGATGAGCCGAAGAAGGAGCATTCTAAAGAATAAAATGTGCCATCTCTCCCACTTTCAACTTGAAAGAATTCAGCATTTCTTGCTGCCTCTCTTTGGGAAGTGGCTTCCAGGCATGATTCCTCAAACAGGGAATGTTTTAAAGTGCATCTACATCAGAATTTCACTTGCTATTGTAATGAAGACTCAGCACTCTAAGACACTGATGATTTCTAGAAATATTTTGGCATTTCACTCACAATCCTCAGCCAAGTCATCTCTCCTCTCCCACGTGAAGACTTTCTAGAAAATCCACTCAAGGCAAAAAATAACCCCTTGCATCTCTGTAATGCATAATACTTTGCTAAGAATTTGTATAAAAATTCTCTACTTTCATCTGGCCTAGGTCAGGAAGGGCACGATTCTCATTTTATAGATGAAAATGGCAAGGTGTCTCAGAAACGGAATGAACTTTCTGAAATTCCATAGTAAATGTCTCCAAGCCTCAATTTCCTCATCTGTGAAACAGCAAAACTAATAGCTATTCTTAGGCTTGATATGAAATGTAAAGATGTGTAAAGTACCTACCTCCTTGTGCTAGGCTGAAATAATGATCCTCCAAAGATATCTGTTGCCTAATTTCAGGGTTCTATGAGTGAATGTTCCCTTAAATGGCAAAAGTTGAGTTAAGGATCTTGAGACAGGATCATCTTGGGTTACCCCAGCAGGGCCTAACAGCATCAGTATTTATAAGAGAGAATCAGAGGGAGATTTGACCCTCGGACACATGGGAGAGAGAAGGCCACACAAAGAGAGGGAGAGATGGGAGGAAGGCAGCCACAATCCCAGAAATGTCAGTGTCACCAGAAGCCAGGAGCCAGTGTGGCACAATACCTCATGCATCTCTGAGGGAGGAACAGATTCCTCCATCTCTTACTTAATTTCAAGTAAGTGACTCCCAATTTGCAGGTGAGAACACAGGGACTGTCTGGTGACTTGGCCTAACCAGGTGACCAGGCGAGAGGGCCACGTCAGGTCATGATCCCCGTAGAGGATGCATCTTGCCATCCACTTCTTTCCGGCAGTGACACTTTGCAAACAGCAAGCTGCTCAGCCACTGCTCAGGTGGGGCAGACTTTCCACTTTCCAGTGTACATTGGTGCTGAGACCTGTATCGGTACCGGAGCTGGCGGCAGGGGCCTCATCCAATCAGAAAAGTATGCTCTGAGGCAGTGATGGAGGGAGGCATGAAGAGAACAGAGAGGAGGTGCCAGTCAATAATAGTGGGCAGGAAATAGGGGACATCAATGTGAGAAAAAGTAGAATTTTAGGGGGATGACACTGGTAACTCTCTCATCTCTTGCTGATGTAGGCAGTTTGGGGGGACAGTGGAGCAGATCATGATGGAAAGTGAGGCAGAGGCCAGGTCCCCTGTTCTCCCTAACCTGGCCCCCACCACACAGACACACACACACACGCCACACACCAACCCCATACACACCCCATATGCACATGTGTACACACACATGTCATTCATCCCTGGCTTCTCCTGCACTAGATGCCAGGAGCACCCCAAACCTGGTTGTGACTATCTGAATGTCTACAGGCATTGCTCAGTGTCCCTGGGGCTCAAAACCGCCTCTGGTTACAGCAGACTGTTGCAAGCCTAGTCCTCCATCTCCTGAATAAGGGTAATGCCAGTGCCCGGCCCACAGGGTTACTGGGAGAACTGAGATGATGTCTACTCAGCATCTGGTACACATTGTCCCCACTCAGCAGCTGTGAGCTACGATCACAGTAGGAAAAGCCACAGCCTCAAAGGAAAACCCAGACTCAACGTGGAAATCTGTGTTGGTTTTCTCTGGCTGCGGCAGCAGTGAATGAGCACAAACGGGGTGGCCCCAAATCACATACTTTTATTTGCTTGCAGTTCTGGAGGTCAGAAGTCTGGATGCAGCTGCAGGCTGTGTTCCTCCTGGTGGCTCAAGGGGAGAATCCGAGTCCTTGCTGCTTCCAGCGTCTAGAGGTCACCGTGTTCCTTAGTTTGTTGTGCTGCGTTTTCGTTTTCGGACTTCTGCTTTTATCATTGCTCTGCCTCCAGCCTCCCCCCCAAGTGCCTGCCTCTGCTGAGGACCCACCCAGCTAATCCAGGATCATCTCTTCAGCTCAAGACCCTTAATTTAATCATATCTGGAAAATCCCCTTTGCCGCAGAAGGTAACATAATCTCGGGTCCCAGAGATTAGGACACAGACATCTTTGCCAAGCTGTCCACCCTGCTGAAGAGTCCCCGAGTACTCGCCTCATCCATCAGTGGGAGGAAAAGCCCTCCGAATGGACTGCTTTATTTATTTTTAATTAAACACACTGAAAAAAGATGGGAGCCTGCATTGAAATAAGACATTCAGACCCAGCAGACATTCTGGCATGTCCAGGAGTCTATTAAGAGAGGAGATTTAACGTCCAAGGCCAGATCGCTTACCTCATACACATAACGGGGGTAGGAAGTGGGTGTCTGGGATGTGTTCACCACTTTTCTTGCAAATGTCAGGGGGAGAATTTGAGACTGATCACCCAGCTCCATTTCTGCTGTTGCTTGTCAGCAACTCGTGTAATCAATGGAACATTCATTCCAATAGTGTTCCCAACTCCTTCTCATTCCATGACATCATTGTTCCTGTTGATAGAAATGGACCTGACAAGCTTGCCCAAAGGAATACTTTTCGGGTTCATCCCTCTCTCTCTCTCTCTCTCTCTCTCTCTCTCTCTCTCACTCTGCAGCTTCTACTTTCGTTTCTTCTAAGGTTACTTTTTAGTCAAATGGTGCCAGTTTTATATGCATCTGGTGCCCTGTGCCCTGTGATGTGTGTCTTCTTTCTTCTCTCTCACACCTCTTAGCTAAGGTTTAAATACAGTTTGTGCCCTAAACTCACCCTGGAGTTTAATCCCCATTGCCAGGTATTAAGGGGTGAAAGCTTAATCCAACTATGGCATTTAGAGGTGGAGCCTTTGGCTGTGATGAGGATTTGATAAAGTCCCAAGCGTGGAGCCACTGGGATTGAATTACTGGTGGCTTTACAAGAAGGGGGAGCCACCGGGAGACACAGGCATTCCTTGTCCCATGCCATATGCTGTCATGTAGTTCTGCAAGCACAAGGGCTATTGCCAGATGCAGAAACATGAGCCAAAATCAACTTCATTTCTTTATAACTTGCCCAGTCTGGGTGTTACATTATTAGCAACAGAAAACAGATGAATACGACACCCATCCTCTCGCAAACCCTGCCTGGAAAAATCTCTTTAACAGAGATGTGCAAACCTGCCGTCAAGATGGGGCAGGGAGGCAGGGGTGTCCAAGGCTCCAAGTATTGGAGACTGGGGGTGAGAAGGCAGAGTATTGGCTCCTGAGGGGAGAGGGCTGGTCAGGGGATGAGGAAAAAGAGAAGTGACCGCTGCTGTTGAAGCAGTTCTTTGGGGTCACACTTGCACCATTTTGTGAATGCACTAAAAACCACTGAGCTCTACACTTTAAATGGGGAAATTATATTTCAATAAAGCTATTGTTTCAGAGCTTAATAGGCTCAGGAATCAAAGATGGACCTAGTTTCTTTAGGAAGTATACCTGTTTTCAGGAATGTTTCTATTCTCAGTAACTCAAAAGACTATATTTATCTTAATGTAAATAACTTCTAGTAATGCATGAGCAATGTGAATAATAATTGCACCGAATTTCCTAGCTTCTGGAAATTGAATCCAGTCTCTTTGCTCCCCAGGGTCCTTTTTACTGAGAGTGAGCTGTTTTGTGTTCCAAGCCCTTCCTGGGTGCTGGGATCCAAGGATAATACAGGGTCCCCTCTCAAAAGGCTCTGTATCCACTAATAAGAGGATTACAGACTGTTACACACGACACACGAGAGCTGTGATAGAGACAAGGAGGAAGACCTCCAGGAACCCAGTGGGAGCCAGCAGGCCTGGAACACGTCTAGTCCTATGCCCCACCAAAGCCGGAAAGTCACCCCAGAATGAACTGTCCCTGGCACCCAGTCTCATTCACAAAGCCACCATGGCCGCCACTCCCCAATTGGTCATTACAGCCTGGGCTCTGGGTCCTTCCGTATCCCGTGATCTGCCTACACCCCTATCTTGCTTCTGTCTCGAAGCCAACTTGGCAGTGGGTTGAAGACTGACTTATGTGGCACTAGGGAAATGTCCCCAGCAAAGGTGACACTATATCTCCATCTGTAGGAGCAAGTAAGAGGTAGCCAGGTGCTAGGGGCTGACTTTGTCCCCCAGAGTTCATGTGCTGGAAACTTGGTCCCAAAATCAGTATGTTGGTGGTACTGGGTGGAGGGGAATTGGGAGGTGATTAGGCTTTGACGAGCTCATGAGGGTAGGGTCCCCATGATGGCATTAGTGGCCACATAAGAAGAGGAAGTGGGCCCTGAACTGACACACGCTCCTTCACTCTCACCATGTGCTGCCTCCTGCCACAGGATGACCAGCAAGAAGGTCCTCGCTGGATGCCAGCACCTTGGTATTGGACTTCCTGCTCTCTAGAATGGTGAGATGTAAATTCATTTTCTTTATATAAACTACTCAGTCCCTAGGATTCTGTCATAGCAACAGAGAACAGACTAAGACACCAGGTGAGGAAGGGAGAAAGAGAGTGTTCCAAGCTGGGGCACACTTGTGCAGACGAAAGGCTGGAGGAACATTTAATTAAATCTCGGGACTGTAGTGGTTCTGAGTGGCTGGGCCATGGGGAGGTCTATGTACCAGGTGGCAGGGGGACAGGGACCTCCAGTTTTGAAGGATACAGACTCTTCACAGGCTCATGGGAGACACGAATGTTCGCAGCAGCACTATTCTCCATAGCCAAAGGTGGAGGCGGCCCAGATGTCCACCAGCAGATGACAGGATAAACAAAACGTGCTCCAGCCACACAGGGGGGTATTGCTCATCCATAAAAAGGAGTGAAGCACTGACACATGCTACAATGTGGCTGAAGCTTGAGGAGATTATGCTAAGTGAAAGAAGCCAGTCACAAGAGCCCACCAGCTGTAGGATTCCATTTATAGGAATATCCATGGAGACAGAATATAGAACCCTGGTGGTTGCCAGGGTTCACAGACAGGTGAATGGGGTGATGCTTCTGGGTACTGGATTTTTGAGGGGACATAAAAACATGTTGGAACTAGACAGAGGTGATGGTTGTACCACACCTGGAATGGCCTGAATGTCACTGAATAATATACATGGCTACTTTTATGTTATGTGAACTTGACCTCAATGTTTTAAAAAGCATGAGAATAACAGCCTCCTGGTTCAGTAAATATTGGTCTTGCAGTTTGCAGGGCTTCCATCATGGAGCAGAGCCCAAGCCCTAGGTCAAATCTCTACTGGGAACACAGGCAGCCGAGGAGGCTTCCTGCTCCAGTCAACAGCACTGGAGCTTCCCGACTGAAACCCAAGGGCTGTAGAAAGGAAGCAGAGCCACAGCCATTTCCAGACAGGAAGCTCTACTCTCCCCTCTTCCCCATGCCAGGCACAGACCCAAATCTATATGGGGCAGGTCATCACCTGGTCTGACTGAATGAGAGCAGCTTCCTTACCTCCCCTCTGTCCCAGCCTGTGGCCCCATGGCCTGGACAAGAACATTTTGTTCTGCAGAGCTGTGTAGCTGCCTGAGCCCTTCCGTAGTCTTCCTTCTCTGCATGCTGGCTTTCAACTTCCTCCAGGTAATGTCTTTCTTCTAAGACCACAGTCATATTCCTTCTAGTTAAAGGAAGTCAGCTCTAGAAACTTCTGGGGCATCCAAGGTGAAGTTCATGTGCCCACACATGTCACACCATTGGTTGGGTCCTTCAAATGCCTGAGTCTTTGTAATAAATAGGGATATTATCTTTTTCCTCCATGCAAACGAGGCCACCCACAGGTCCCAGGTGCACGGAGGCAGGAGCAGGGGACAGCCAAGTCATGCCATCTGCTCACGGTGCCAGTGGTCTCAGAGCAGAGCAGCCTTACAACACAGGAAAGTATTTAACAGAAAGCAAGATAAAGAGAAATTTGGATGATTTTTACAACTTTAAGATTTCCAACCCCTAAATGAATATTCTCATTCTTCTCAACTAGGGGTAATTTTGCCACACACACACACCAGGAGACACTAACATTTTTTGGTTGTCGCAACTGAATTAAGCAATGCTAGAAGCATCTGTTTGATAAAGGTTGGGGTGCTGCTCCACATCCTGCAAAACACAAGACAGCCCCCTGCTAAAGAATAATCCAGCCTAGAATATCAACAGTGCAAGGTTGGGAAACCCAATTATACTGCATTTACATTAAAACACTATTTTTACATGTTGAAATATTATAGCCAATCAAAAATGGGAACTTCACATAGGAAGACATTTAGATACAACCCTGTTTATGCAAAGTAGTTCTTAGTGATAAAATGCCTAAAATAGAAAACTAAATAATACAGAGTCCCCATTGTTTTCATTTATCTACAGACTCACAGTTTTTTGTTTTGTTTTGTTTTGAACATGTGACTGGAATATCCCCATAGGGAACATCAACTCCATAGAGCAGATCTAAATGGGATTCAGGAACTCTGAGCTCTATTCCCAGGTGAATAAGGTGGCTTCTGCCCTCAGGTTACACACAATGTGATAGATTCTTTAATAGAAATGCAAAAAGGCTATAAAGATAGGCAAAGAAGTGACTCATTTCTCCTGGGTTATTCAGGAAAAATAACCAAGAAGGTGAACTTTGAACTGGGCCCTGCCATGATTCTTTAAGAGAACAAAATGAGAGGGAAAAAATTCAGACAAAGAAAGAGCTAAGGCTTCCTTTGTTGCCTGTGGATTGAATTGTATGTCCCTCACCAACCCTGCAAAAAGATGCTGAAGTCCCAATTCACAGTACCTGAGATTGTGACCTTATTTGGAAATAGGGTCATGGAGATGCAATTAGCCAAGATGAGGTCAGAATGGAGTCTTGGGCCTTTAATCCAATATGACTGGTGTGCCTATAAGAAAAGGAGAAAAAACACAGATACACACAGGGAGAATTCCACATGAAGATGAAGGTAAAAATTGTAGTACTGCAGCTGCTAGCCAAGAATGCCAAGGACTGTCAGAACCCACCAGAAAATGGGAGGAGGCAAAGAAGGTCTCAGAAGGTCTCAGAAGGAACAGAGCCCTGACAACATCTTGATTTCACACTTCTGGCCTCCAGATCTGTGAAAAAATACATTTCTGTTGTTTTAAGCCACTCAGTTTGTGGTCATTTGTTAGGGCAGCCTAGGAGACTAATATAGAGGAGTTAATAACAAACTTTCTTCATTTGGAACAAACAATTGGATAACAGTAATCAATGAGGTGGTAGGAAAGGGAGAGTCAGTATGGAAAAGATGTCAGGGCACCTGTGAAGTCTCCTCCTGGCCTCATGCAGGAGATGTGATTGTGGGAGCTGTGAAAAAAGGAGGAGAGTGATAGAATGGAGATGGTTTTATGATCTGGGAATTATACCAAGAATAGCTGTGAATTCTGGAGTAAGAGGCAAGTGGTAGGGTAACATTAATGCTGGACCATAACTACACCAACAACCGGGAGCTATTCAAACCCTGGATATGGGTAGCGTCAAGGACAAGAAGGCATATTTGCCATTATCCAGATTATAACCAGGAAGAATCACTGAAAAAGAAGGAGAAGGAGGAGGAGGGACAACAAAAAACAAGTGCAAAAGGAAATAAAAATATAATTTGACTTCTAATAATCCCCAAAATCAAAGAAATGTAACAAAGGGTGTATAAAACCTGTACAATGAAAACTATAAAACACAAGGATGAAAGAAAATTTTAAACACTAAAATAAATTACATACCATGTTCATGGACAAGGAGAATTAAATTGTTAATATATTGATTCTTCCCAAATAGACTGATAGATTCAAGATGAAACCAACAAAAATTCCAGCAGGGTTTTTTGTAAATATTGACAAACTGATCTAAGATTTATATAGAAATACAGATACCTAGTTAAATAAAGCAGTTTTTAAAGAACAAAGTGAGAGAACTTACCTGGCAGCATAGCATTGGTTAAAAATATAGACCAACAAAAGGAGCAAAATCAATGAGTTGAAAAGATGGATCAGTGGACCATAATTGGTCAATTTATTTTTTGGCAAAGGAACCAAAGAAATTCAATGAAGAAAGAAAAGTTTTGCAACAAAAGGTGATGGGACAACTGAATATCTATGTGAAAAAAATATCAAAACTTACAATGCACCATACACAAAAATTAACTGGAAGCAGATTATAGACTTAAACATGAAAGCAAAAACTATAAAACTGGTAGAAGATAATAGAAGAAAATTTCTGATCTTAGAGTAGGCAAAGATTTCTAAGGTAAAGTTTAAAAACATAGACTATAAAAGAAAAAATTGATGAATGAGACTTTATTATAGTTTAAAACTTGGCTTCATGAAATACATACTTAAGAAAATGAAAAGTCACACCAGAGACTCAGAGAAAATACATTATCTAACAAATGACTCATAACCAGAATCTAAAAAGAACCTCTACAGCGAAATTATAAGACAACCTAATTTTTAATGGAGAATAGACTTAAAAAGATATTCTGTAAAAAAGATATATGAGGGCCAGGGATTTAGCTCAATGGTTCCAGCACCTCCCTCACAAGCACAAGGTCCCAAGTTTGATCCCCAATACAAAAAAAAAAAAAAGATATATGAATGCTTAATAAGCCCATGAAAAGATACTTAAAAATAGGTATTGTGTTAGTTTCCTGTTAATGCAACAAAATACCTGAGATAATAGGTTTAAAAAGATGAAAGGTTTATTTGGGCTCACAGTTCTGGAGGTTTCAACTCCCTGGCTAGCTGGCCCCATTACTTTTGTGCCTGTAGTGAGGCAACACATCTTTGTGGGAGCACATGGTGGAGGAGGCTGCTCATCTCACGGTAGCCAGGAAGAAAAAATAAAATGAAGAGACCAGGGTCCCACAATCCCATTTGAGGGCACAGTTCTAAGACCTCCCACCAGGCCCCACCTCTTAAAGGTTCCAACATCTAATAGCGTCACATGCTGGGCACCAAACCTGCAAAAACACATGGGGCTTCAACGAACATTCCAGATCCAAAGTATAGCACTCACCAAAGAACTGCCACCAACCACACTGAGATACCACCACACACCATTAGAATGGGTCACATTAAAAAGACTAAGACTCCCACGGGCTGTATAGCACTTGGAACTCTTGTACCTTGTTGGTGGGGATGTTAAAAAAAAAAAAATGGTACATTCACTTTGGAGAAAGGTCTTGCCATTTCTTATAAAAGAAATATACACCTGGCCTGCAGCCTAACTACTCTTAGATATTTACCCAAGAGAAATGAAAGAATATGTCCCCACAAAGGCTTTCATACAAATATGTATAACAAGCTTAGTCCAAAATCTCGAAACAACCCAAATGTCCATCCACAGGTGAATGAATACACAAACTGCACAGCATTACTCAGCAATAAAAGAGAATAAATGATTGATTTTGTAATAAGGCAGTCGAATCTCAGTCCAGTAAAAGAAGCCAAACAGAACACATTCCATATGATTTCATTATGCACAATTATAAAATATGCAAAATTAGAGTGTCAGATAGCAGATCAGTGGTTGCCTGAGGACAGAAGGGAAAGGGAGGTTGGGTTCAAAGGAATGAGAAGAATTTTGGAGGGAGATAGAAATATTCTATACCTGATTGAGGCAACGGTTACCTGGATGTATACATTTATGAAAACATTGAACCATACATTTAAGATGGGTGCAGTTGATGGCATGCAAATCACACTTTAATAAAGGCAAGGATTTCCTTGTTATTTTGGAACTGGGGGAGGCTGGGCTGGGTCAAGGCTTGCTTCTCTCCCTTGCAACAGTCCCTACCCTTCAGGCGCCTTGTTGACATGCAGCTGGTGATCAGGATTCTGAGTTTCCCTCCGCTGACTTATGTATGTGTCTCTCCTGCACTCAGTGAATGATGACGGTAAGAGGTTTCAGATCAATTCTCATCTTGTGTGCTCTGCGGCAGGAAACTCTAATTGTGATTCACAATGTTATCTCTCTGTCAGCCTCTCTTTCCAAACGTGGAGATACTGGAAAAAAATGTGTCATTTACCTGCAAGAGGGAGGTTGGCTGGGACAAGCATCAGCTGGAATCAGGAGCCACTTAGCACAGCCTCTGACTGAAAGAGTTGGACACTGCGTTCTCTCTGCCCATCTCCAGGGCCACCTCGAGGGCCACCTGCACCCGATGTGAGTGATCAGATTGATGCATAATCCCTGCCACCAAGCCAAGCTACCATCACGGTTCACAGGGTCATGGGGAATCTTGCATGTGTGAGGCCCTAGTTTCATCAAGCACCACAAAAGAGAAAAAAAAAACTGCCCAGGACACTTGCTCCTGCCTAGAGATGCTCACCCAGCAGGCTGAGATGGCCCAGCATCTGCAATGACAATGCGTGCCTGCCACGGAGCCAGCGCAGGTGACCTACAAATCCCACTTGAAGATTCTGCCCTGCACGTGCAGCCTCCAAAGCCTCTCCTCTCGCTCTCCTCAGCCTACAATCCCCCATTCCCTCTCCTGGATATGTCAAGTGCCTTCCCAATCAGCAGGGTCCAGAGGGGCCTGGCACAGCCTTTGGCTACCAGCCCCAATGCCCACCAGCTCCTCTAGTGGTCATCGCTCGATTTAGACAATTCTCATTGCCTCAGCATCTGGAAAATGCTATTTAATTTGAGCTTCGATACAAGTTACCAATATGTGTCTTTGATAGACAATTCTGGAGCCACCAGCATTCTTTCCTGTTTCAATGTTCTGATGTTCTAGATAGCTCTACCTAGATCAATTTCTTCCTTAAACCCACCTGACCCCATTCTGAGTGACTGTGTGTGAGGTGCCTAGCTCCCTGCTACATGGAATGCCCTGGAGGGAAGAGCTCTTCCCATTCTGCTGGATCATCCCATGGCTGGATTGGGAAGTGCAAGGCAGGGCGAAGGTGACAGGGAATGGGAGATAGAATTTGCAGCTCCGAGTCCCTCCATGATCCGCATTAATCCATCCATAAGGGTGGAGCCCAATGACCTAAACCCCTCTCATTAGGCCCTACCCCCAACTCTGTGACCCTGGAGACCATGTTTCCAACCCAGGCTCCTTGGGGGACACATTCAAACCATAACAACCCCCAGGTAAGCAGTGTGAGTCTGAGATCTGAGAGACTTCCATAAGGAGCAGGTAAGAAAAGTGAGTGGATGAATGGGCACCGGGCCAGAAGTGCCCAGTGGCCTGCTTGAAAAGTGCCCTGCTAGGGGACAATGCCATGGCTTCCCTGTGTGACACAGGAGTGGCAAGGCCCAAGGAGAGCACCAAGGGGCTCTGCCAGACCTTTCAAATCCTAGGCCAGGTGCCATAGCTCAGCCCTGAGTCAAGGACACCTGTGTGAGACCCTCCAGCTCCCTTGTTCACCCCAAAAACAGAGCCCCAGGTCCTTTCACCACCTTGTTCCAAAGCCTCAGCAACCAGATTCAACTCACCCCGAAACCAACATCTCCTTATTTGTCCTGGGGGAAAGTAAATCCAGAAGAAGATGCCCTAGTGAACTTTTTTCCCTCAAGAGTAGGGAGGTGTTTGGTCATTTTAAGGGTTCCTCCTCTGGGTTATCCAAAGTTTTGTCTCCCACATTGGCTCCCAACCGATATTCTGGGGTCTCTAGACTCCTACCAGGTCACAAGCTCCTCAAATTATATGTGATATTTTGTATGTACATTTAAGGGTCTTTGTTTACTTTAAAAGACAGAAAATCACTGGTATAAAAGAAGCAGCATCTTTGTAACCAAAACACTTCTGCTTGAGATCTGCTAAGCAGAGGCCTCTGGGCAGACCACGGAGGCCATGGGAGAGTCTGCCCAAGGTCCCTCTCCACGAGCACCAAGCTCAGAATTCCAGCCTGTTCCCTCTGGAGAACCCAGGCCCGTGCTCTAGGCAATAGCACAGGCTAGCTTCTTTCACCCTTCAGGAGACCCATGCAAGTGATTCCCATTCTACAGATGAGAATACAGAGGCTAAGGCAGGTATGGGATGCCCCTGAGGTCATGGGACAAATAACTGAAAGAGGCTTGGAAGTAGAAGGGAAAAGGAAGAGGAAGAGGAGAGGAAGAAGAAAAAAAAAGGAGGAGAAGAAAAAGGAGGAAGAGGAAAATGAAGAAAAGGAGAAAAGGAAGAAAGGGAAGAAGAGGAAGCAGAAAAGAAGGAGGAGGAAAAGAAGAAAGAGAAGAGGAGGAAGAGGAGAAAAAGAAAAGAAAAGAGGAGGAGGAGGAGGAGGAGGAGAACAAAATGCTTCTTTGTTCTTCTGGAACTCAAGCTCCCAACTCCCCGAGCCAGCTCCGCCCTGAGTTCTGGAATGTTTCTCCAGGCAAAGATAGCTTCTTTCCCCTTCTGTCCCGTCCTTCTCCTTCTCCGCTTCCCACCTGCTTGTTGCTGTGTGCTGGTGTCACACCTCCTGCTGCTCGGAGCTCGAAGCTGAGCCCGGCTGGGTGAGACTGGGCTCCATCTGCCCCAGTTCTGGGACTGTCTGAAGGTAACTCCACGCCTACACCCTTTGCCAGGAGGCTGAGAAGCCTTCAGCGGCACCACCCGGTTCCCAGCCCCTCTCCACACAAGACGCTGGTACCAGTGCCAGCCCCTGGTTGCCGCTCAGCCAGATGGCAGGGGAAGCAAAACACAAGTGACCTTGTTAGCAGAATGTGTCTTCCCCGGGAGAAGCTATTTTTGTTGTTGTGAACTGAAGTCGTCTCGGCTGAATTCTCCTTCCCAGTGAGGGCTGTGGAATGTTAATTTGTTCCAAAGTTCAGTATTTTGATTAGAACCAGGAGTGCCAGATTTTGTCAGAAACATTTTGCAATAGAGTAGGCTTGTGTGCTCTCTCCCTCTGTCTCTCTCTCTCTCTCTCTCTCTCTCTCTCTCTCTCTCTCTCTTCCTTTTCTTGCTCTCTCTCTTGGCCACTGTACAAAGTAAATGTTGTTGTAGCAGCTGCTCCGGGGAACAGCCCGTCACAGATCAGAGCTCTGGCCAGAACTGGCTCCTCCCTGCAGCCCTGACCTTGTTACCACAGAGCGCCCAGACAGGGACAGAAGGGGAGCCCCTCTGTCGGGACACACCCTGGGTGTGCCTGGGGAGAGCACACAGCCCGGCACAGAGCCGAGGACCTAGGGGCCCCCAGAAAATACATATGTGCCCAATAAAAGAACAGGCCTCGCCCAGACAAAGCCTGCAGGAGGTCACGGTCAGGGACAACTGTCTGAGAGCCTTCCATTCTGTCCATCTTTGATTCCCTTTCCCCAACATACTCCCCCATCTGTTTGGGGGATGGGCTAAGGATGCAACTCGGGCCTCGCACATGCTGTCCCTGTATCACTGCCCCCATTCTCCTTTTAAATGAGTTACAAACCAAAGCAATGCACGACTCTTTCCTGCATGGCAACCTAAACGCAGATGAGATGAAAGAGCTGTTCGCTCCACTCTGACCCGAACTCTTGGGGCTCCCTAGGTAATCAGACGTGGGCTCCCCGTGGTGGTGGTGGTGGTGAGGTGACCTCAGCAGCACTTGATGGCATCAAACCTATTATCCGTCATCCCTGCCAGAGGGAGAGATGGTTTTCATTTTGTTTTGTAGTTCCGTGGATGGGAGTGTGGACTTCCGGTCCAGGTTGTCTGGGGTCTAATCCTGGCCCTGTGGCGGTGGTAGTAGCAGCAGTGTGGACAAGTGAGCCCAGCAGAGAGTCAGTTTCAGGTGTGTGAGCGTGAGGAACAGAAGGGGCTCCTCACAGGCTGGGTGGGGCCGGATGCATTGTTAACTGACCCATGCTAAGTGCTGGGATCCCGGCTGCTGTCATTTCCCCAGCCGCCCAGGATGTTGGGCCCTCCCACCCTACGCTTTCTCCATCTGTTTCCCAGGCTCTGTGCTAGGCTGGGAACGACTCCAGGGTGGTGAATCTGGGTGTCTGGTTCCACTGCTGCAGGGCCCTGTGGGTTCTTCACGGCCTCTTCAAAGTCCCGCTGAGAGGAAGAGACCGCCTTCCCAGGATGAGGAGGGAGTCCTGTTTCCTCCAGCTAGAACTGAGGCCAGGAGGGGCCGGGGCTCACAGAGGCCACAGAGCCAGGCCAGGCATCTTCAGGCTCAGCCCGGCCTGCCAGGGCAGCTTCCTGAAGAGCCGGGTCAAGCAGGATTCTAAGATACAGCGGAGTTCACCAAGACAGAGGGATGATGGGAGACTAGCACTTTCTGGCCATCCTCACCTCCCAGTCACCGCCACTCCTCATCCCTACATGGCCCCTCTGGCCCCAGTCTCGTGGCAGACGCCCTCACTGAGAACAGCGAACAGGGTTTCTGGGGCTGATCTGGAGCCTCCTCCACTTGGCTCCCAAAGGGCCAGGTGAACAGACTTCTCCAGTCGCCCCAGGCCATCCCACACACTCGCAGCCCATGTGGACCATGAGGAGCTCACCAAGGTGCCTTAGCGCCACACAGGGAGGGGAGAATCTCCACGTGTGTGCCAGGCAGGCTGAGCTTGTGCGGGAGGCCTGAGAGCTGCAGAGGAGTCTGGCCGGCCTCCCCTCCTCTCCTCACCCGGCTTCCAGGGCTCTGCCGGATGCTGCCATCTGTCGCTGCAAACATCCGCGCTGCCTCCTTCCGTGCAGACGAGCTGTCTGTCCTTCCTCTACCTCCTCCAGCTGCACCTCCTGCCTCTCCCCAACAGGGCCATCCAAATGGGCCTGCAGATGATCCGGAGGCTCCGGGCCTGTCAGGTACCGGCAGCTGTCCCTGCAAAGTCCCAAATAGGTCCCAGGTGTGCCCTGCATTACAGGGACCCAAGAGGGACAAAGTTCTGTTCTCAAGGTCGGCACCTCCAGACAGTGCCTCTGTGCACTGCACGGAGACTATGCTGATTCCCAGTCTCCGCCTCCATTGGCTCTGGCTCTGAACAAGCAGAGGAGAACTGTGCTGAGCGGGAAGGAAACTAAAGGGCCTCAGTCTCCTTTCAGGCGGAACGAGGACTCAGAGGGTTGGCCCGCTTCTCCCGGTATGCACTGGGATCCACAGTTTTATCAGTTGGTTTCTTTATATCCAGATGGAGAAGCCAAGGCCCCTTAGGTTCAGGGACTGTGTGCTCAGATCAGTGCTTGTTTGTTGAATGAATGAATGAGAGTAAATGAACATGTATGTGATGGGCACCTGCGGATGCCGTGCTGGGGGACATGTGAGGACATGCTGACATGTACGTCTGGGTCATTTTACTACATGCACTTCTGTGCATGTCAGCATCACTAATGTGTGTTTTTATGGCTTGACTATCCCTTTTTATCTTAATTTTTATAGTACAGGTTGGGCATACATAATGATTGCATGCCTTGTGGGGAGTTGGTACATGTACATAACACATCTTAATTCTTTTTTCACATTCCCTCATCTCTTGGTCTCTTTCCCTTTTGCAACAGATCTATCTCCCAGGCCAGGGATTTAGCTAGCATAGCACCTGTCTGGCAAGCAAGAGGTCTTGAGTTCAATTCTTGGTATCAAAAAAAAAAAAATCTATCTCCCTATTTTCTATTATGTAACTTTATTTTGCTCTTTATTTATACCTTGGGTGGCTCTTTTGTCTAAGAGAAACCATGCAATATTTAAGCTTGTGTGTTTGATTTATCTCACTTAACATTATGGTTTGGTTTTTTTTTGGTACCCAGGATTGAACTCAGGTCCTTGTGCTTGTGGGGCAGGTGGCAGAACCACTGAGCTAAATCCCCGGCCCCTCACTTAACATTATGGTCTCAAGGTGCATCCATTGTCCTACAGCTGACTCAAGTGTATCCTTACATATGGCACAGTAGCACTCCATTGTGTATAGGTACCACACTTTATCTTTTCATATGTTGGTGAACAGATAGGCTATTTCCAAGATTTAGCCATCATGAATTGTGCTGCTAAAAACATGGGCATGCATGTGTCACTGTAAAATGATGTCTTTAAATCTAGAGAACTAATATTTAGAATATATAAAAAACTAAAAAAATTAGACCCCCCAAATAAAAGATCCAGTCAAAAAATGGGCAACTGAAATGCATACATTCCTCAGAAGAAAAGGTATAAATGGCCAATACATGAAAAAATGTTCAACATCTCTGGCCATTAGAGAAATGCAAATTAAAACAATACTGAGATTCCATCTTATTTCAGAAAGAATGGCCATCATCAAAACATCAAATAATAACAAATGCCAGAGAAGCTATGGGGGAAATGGAACCCTTCTACATTATTGGTGTGAGTGTAAACAAATACAGCCATTATGGAAAGCAGTATGAAGATTTCTCACAAAACTAAAACTAGAAATTCCATTTGACTCACTCCTCCCCTTGTAGGTATCTTGACCATTTATTCTTAGAGATGACCTAACTATACACTCAAAGGCTGCCAGCTGAGATAACTCAATTGAAGCATTGGGCATTGTGCTATTTTATTTTATAAATAAGGATACAAAGTACACATTATAAACTCTCAAATCCTAGATGACTTTGACTTTAGTTGTGAGAGGTGCTCTGAGAAACAAAGTGTCCATGGTCAAATGAGGTTGGGAAATTTGGGGTTAAACAGAACTAAACAGGTCTCTAAATGTGAGGTATCTCAGATACTTTAAATGCCAAGATGCCTGGTGACTAAATACAGAAAGAATACACAGTATTTATCACACTCATTTGGCCTTGGGACTCTTCTGGACTCCTCCTTTAAGGAGGATTTTGCAGTAAATGTAGATAAAGGGTAACCTAGGAGAATTTTGTGGGTGAGAAGAATTCATCTTGGCTGGGATTAGAGAGTGCTGGAGGTAGACAGAGGCAGGCAGGGTTGAAGTTTCTTCTTTCACTCACTCACTCAGTCAACATGTCTTGTTGATACAAAGCTGGATAAGGAGAGAGTTGCCACCCAGCTTCATAGTCTGAGAGAATCAGACCACTGGGGTTCCCTGTTGCAAATGTCAGATGCCCCATCACACTGGCAAGCAAGAGAGTAGAAGTATGGACTCAAACATCTGAAAAGCCCACAGTTGGAAAGGAGGGTAAGATAAGAAACTAATCTAAAGGTGGAAGGAACAGACAAGGAGGGCCTGGAGTGACAGAGTAAGGGTGAGATTCAAGAAAGAATTTGTCTGTGGAACACCTGGATTTGTCCACTTAGCCAATATGTGCCCTGTACTAGGCATCTTCCTGTCACTGGGACAAAATACCTGACACCTGCAAGTTAAAGGAGAGATTTGTTTTTGGCTTATAGTTTCAGTGGGTTCAGTCCATGGTCAGCTGTCTTCATGGCAGAAATGGCATGATGGAAGGATGTGGCGGAGGAAAGCTGCTTAAACAATAGGAGCTAGGAAGCATAGGGAGAGGGAAGAGCCAGAGATCAGAATAAACCCTTCCAGGTCACATTCCAGGGACCCAGCTCTTCCCCATCTTCTCACAGCACATTCAGCTAAGAACTCTTCAGTGGATTAGTCTACTACCACTGCAGATCTAGACCACAACATATCCCTGCCATGCGCTCTTATGCCAGGCACCATGGGGTATGCATGTGTGTGTATGTAGTAAGTAGTAGTAGTAGAAGTAGTAGTAGTACTGGCAGTAGTAGCAGTAGTTTATATCTAGTCAATCCACTAATGATTATCTTCTCAATAAAGTAGATCAACTTTGGCAGAAGCAAATACACCCCTGGAAGGAAGGGACAAATTAAAGCGCCACCCAGGCTCACAGAACACAGGCAGGGAACAGAAAAGACTAGCCAGCCCCTTCTGTCCCACTTGCCACAAGATGTGCTGTCTTCAGGGGCACAGGCAACCCCGGGGTGTCAGATTGAAATGCTGCCCCTTATTTCTCCCAGGATAACCAGAATAATTCCAGTCTAGGGGAGGAAGGAAATTCAACAAAACAAGATCAAGGGTCAGTGGGAATAGAAAGGATAAACAGGACAACAAATTCTTTTTTTTTTGTATTAAATTCTTTTATTGGTACATTTTAAGTATACAATACAATTACATTTCTCATTGGGAATTGTACCTTTACATGATGCATCTTGGTTCTTATTTTTTCCCCATTCCTAGCCCTCCCTTCACGCCCTCCACCCTTCCCTATTTACAAAGACTTTATTTCCATTTTTTCCATTTCTCATCATTTTTTCCTTTCCCTTCTTTCCTTTCCCCTGCCCCTCCCATTACCCCTACCCCTTTGGACCTTTTTTTCCTATTTTGCATTATCGATTATTCATTCTAATCATTGGTACATTTTAGGTATACAATATAATGACATTCATCGTTGGAAATTTGCACCTTTACATAGTCTCTCTTGGTTCTTATTTTTCACCCTTGCCCAGCCCTCCCTTCAACCCCTCCAGTCCTCCCTATTTACAAAGATTTTGTTCCTATTTTTCCATTTTCTCATATTAATCCCATTCCCTTCTATCCTTTCCCCTAGTCCTCCCACTTCCTTCCCCTTTGCCCCTTTTCTTCCTATTTCACATTACCTATTATACATTTAGTCCTTATTTACACTTTCAGTTTCTCACACCAGAGACACTATTCGGTATTTACACATGGGTGTCCTATTTATTTCACTTAAGAGTATTGCCTCAATGTGCATCCACTTAGCTATAAATGTCTCTAATTTCTCCTTTTTTATGGCTGAGTAGTACTCCATTTTTTTAAAAAACCACATTTTCTCTATCCAGTCTCCAGTTGATGGGCATTTGGGCTGTTTCCAAGTTTTAGCTATTACAAACTGCACTGCTATGAACATGGGCACACATATATCACTGTGGTATGATTCTTTTAATTCTTTGGGGAAGATCCCCAGCAGTGGAATAGCGAGGTCAAATGGGACTTCCAGTCCTAGTTCTTTGAGGTATCTCCATACTGATTTCCACAGTGGTTGCACCACTCTACACTCCCACCAGCAGTGGAGCAGGGTTCCTCTTTCCCCACAGCCCCGCCAGCATTTGTTATTGGTTGATTTCATGATAGCAGCCATTCTTTCTGGAGTGAAGTGGAATCTCAGCATTGTTTTCATTTGCATCTCTCGAATGGCCAGTGATGTTGAAAATTTTTTCATGTATTTATTTGCTATTTCTACTTCTTTGTTTGAGAAATGTCTGCTCATTTCAGATGCCCATTTTTCGATTGGGTCTTTAAATTTGGGAGGTCTGATCTTTTGAAGTTCTTTATAGATTTGAGATAGTAGACCTCTGTCTGAGGAAGAGCAGGTGAAGATTTTTTCCCACATAGGACAACAAATTCTAAGACACAATAGCAGCCATCAAGCCCCACTGAGCCCAAGGGGAGAATCCAGCACGGGGAGTCAGATGCCTCTAGGGTGTGCTTTGGGGGCTGTGGCACCCTAAAATGACCTACTGCACCCTCAAATTAAACAGCAGGCAATGACAATGTGAGCCTAGAGTGCAGGTTTGTGGAGGAAAGGGGTGTGTCTCAGCCGCTGGTGAGATTCAAGGTGGTGTTTCACTAGTTTCATTCCAGAATTTGTGGATTGAGTCCCAAACCCAAACCAAATGTTCCCTTTGT